GTATTCACATACAGGGTGTATTTAAGTATATTAGGGCGTAATTTAAGGGTGGGTATTTACAAAGGTTAAGAAACTTATAAAAATCTTCTGTTTTAATAAGTATGCACGTATTATTCTATAGCATATGTTAGTAATCGGCTGCATTTATAGTTATTTTTAGATATATTTGAAACCGAAGACGATTGATTATAGATGGGAGGTGTAACATCCTTTAAGAGGTGTATTGTGTACATAGGGGGGCGTGTTCAACACATGGGGCGTGTATTATATTCATGTGGGCGTGTATTGTGGATATTATAACGAGTTTTATGTTACAAGGGACATATGTAAGATATATACTGTCGTCTTTAATGTATAGAAGAGGTGTGTCTATATGTGGGCGTGTCCTATATACATGGGGGCGTATTGTATCATATGAGAATATATTATCTCACCAGAAGGCAGGAGATCAGCATAGTGTCTGTTGCGTGCAGCGCTCGCGCCCGCCAGCGACGAGTAAGCTAAAACATCCATACATCCATACATACATACAAATGTATTATACAATTTAATTAATAATTGGATTGGCTCTTGCAGTCAGGGAACCTAGTGCAAGAGCCAAGGCTCTCATGAAATGTATATTTTTGAAAATGGAGTAATAAAGGATTTTATTTATTTATCATTATTTTATTTATTAATAAATATTGTTTAACTAACCTCGTATAACTGATAATTCTATCGCAGCTCGAAGTTCGTCGTCATCGTTACGTGTTCTTACACAAGACAGCGCCTGCGGAATTTACACGTTATTTTACCCGACTGTTAGATGGGTAATTATCTGTCGTAAGTTTGTTTTTATGTCTGTGTTCATTTGCAGAACAAGGAATGAAAGTTGTTTTCTTTTTTTCCGTATCAAACGAACTTTTTGTCGAAACGCTTCCGCGTTGTAAGGTTGGTTGAAGAGAGTGGAAGCGTTTCCACAGATTACGCCGTATGCCACAGACAGTAATAGAAAAAACTGTCACAGGGCAAAAAAGGGAATTGCAAAGATAAATTATGAATACTTGTCTCTGGTGCGAATAGTATTTTTATATGTAAATTTCATTCTAATAGCGTATAACCTTGAATAAATCGAGGTGGATCTCACATGCAAAGCTTTTTTTGTATTTTTATATCGATTTTTTCAACTATATTCAACCATCAGAGTTAGTTAGTTGTAATTTCTTGTGTTTTTCAATGAATTTAAAGTGTGTCATGTGGTGCCATATGGTGTCATCATACCTGCGTGTTATCCCTGTGCCGTGCGCTGTGTGCCGCTCGCTGTGCGCGAGATCCTGCAAAATATGCAACATGTAGGCGGGGCTTGGCTAGGACACGCCCACTACACATTAGATGACGTCACAAGTCATCCAATTACCACTAATATTGATATTTTAAAGTTTTGGTACAACAAAACATGAATTACATTAAAAAATTGTTCTAGTTTTGTGTAGGAACATATCTTGGAAATTCTATATGTAACAAAGATTGACAGCTATAGTACAAGAATCTTATGACACTAAGAGGTGTCATTATTTGAATTGCCACCCTCGTTCTATAACAACTACATATATCTATTTAAAATTCAATAATAATAAAAAATATAATATCCACTACAAAGTAACTCGTCCCCTTTGACGATGCTTATGTATGTGGGCGTGGCCAGGGGAGGTGCCGCCTACAAAATAAAAAATGAAAATTTAGATGGATGTTTGTGTTTGTAGCCTAAATTTAAACGAAACTTAGCATAAATGTAAAACATAATCTGGAACAAAATAGGCTACTTGTTTTTTTTACCACGCGGACGGAGTCGCAGGCGAAAGCTAGTCGCAAATGTGTCTAGATACTGACCAGGCCTGGGCGTGTGCGTAGCGCCGTCGCCCAGGTCCAGCTGCAGCCCGCCGCCGTACTCTGGAAATAATTATACAATACATATTATAAATGCGATACTTTGGATGGATGGATGTAAAAAGGTATCTGCGATGTATCTTTACTATTATAATTAAGCGTTAACACACACTTCTTTGTTGACCGACTTCCCAAAAGAAGGAGGTACTCAATTCGTCTGTATGTTTTTTTTTATGTGTGTTACGGCATAACTCCGCCGCTAGTGGATCGATTTTGATAATTCTTTTTTTTATCCGAAAGGTAATGCTTGCAGGTGGGTCCCATTTTTATTTTAGGAGCCAAAGACTACGACGTAGTTTAATAGTTTAGCTCAAAATCGCGCGACAAAATTTAGGGTAATTTTTTTATTATTTCAAAGAAGTAACCGGTGAAAAAAAGCTGATTTCTTAAAGGTGTTTGGTGTATGTGTACCGCTGTACTGTCTTACTGTCCTGCTGTACCAAGTTACCTGCGTGTCGCAGGTGTTGCGGCGCGGGGGCGGTGCTGGGGGCGGCGGGGGCGGTGCCGGGGGCGGCGGGGGCGGCGCTGGGGGCGGGGGCGGCGCCGGGCGCGTACACGTAGTCCCTGGCAGTGAGGAGATGCGTGTTGGCGTTGGGGGCCATCGCTACGTCCGGCACGCACGCGGACAGACGACCACGCAACGATCTGTATATATATATAAGATGATATATATGATATATATAAGATGATAGATGATAGATGATGAAGATGATGATATATATAAGATTAATTCTATATTTTTTCTTATATAAGTTGGCAAACGAGTAAGCGGCCACCTGAATCCATAGAAATGGCCATAAACATACGCAATTGCAGCGCTGCCTACCCTTTATTAACGGAGACGCACATAAAGAGGACATTTCCCCTTCCTATGCGTCTCCACTGTCAAATCCACTTTTCCTTCCCATCCCTCTTAAGGGTGGAAAGGGAAAGCGAATCAAATTAGGCCCGCACCGTAAATTAATTCTTTATAGATCATATACATCCTAATTCCTTTCACAATAAACAATTCACAATGACATTTTAAAATAAAGACTCAAGATTAAATCAAATATAAATTTATTTTGCTTTACATTTACTAAAACTAGCTTTAAATCCCAACACTTCCTGTGGAATAAAAAAAGTAGCCTGTGTTCTTTCAGATAATTCTCTCCATATATATCTATATAAAATATAATATAATAATTTTAACAGTGGTAGTGCCCGCTTTAACATCTTAGCACTGCAGGGCTCTCAGCAATACCACGACCACGCAAGATAGGTGTGAAGTGGAAGCAATTCCATGTACACTCTGATGAGTGTGGTGCCGGAGGACTCATTTAAGTCCCTTTCTCTTTACCACCCTTTTCTTATAAAGAGAGGATGGGAAGGGGAAGTGGATTTGACAGTGGAGGCAATGCATAGGAAGGGGAAATATCCTCTTTATGTCCGTCTCCTCCTCCGTCGGATAAGGGTAGGCAACGCATCTACAATTGCGGATGTGTATGGGCTGTCGCTTCGCCATTTTGGCGGATTCAGGTGGCCGCTTGTCACTTTATGTTATAAAAAAAATCCCCTAAGTCTCCCATACCTACTAAATCCACTTCCCCTCTTCTTTAAAGTATACATACATACAGACAGACAAACCTGTGCGCGTCTGGCCGCGGCGGTAGTTCTCGTCTGCAAGTGCTCGACTCTCGTTCTGAAACATACAAATTATTATTAATTTATAAATAGATATGAATTATATTAAAAAAACGAATTTATATTATGTAACACTAGCTGTTGCTCGCGACTTCACATGCGTGAAATTACCAAAATAATGTTAAATAAACAACTCAAAAACTGGTCTGATTTCAAAAACACTATGTTAAAATGTAATCTATCTGTCAGTGACAGATTATGTTATTATACTAGCTCTCGCCCGCGACCTCGTCCGCGTGGAATTAAAAAACCTAAGGCAGCCGTTTAGGTTATAAACTCTAACATCCATCTAAACTTTCGCATTTATAATATGTGTAAGATGTATGTATCCTCTTGATTATTAGTAGAGATAAATGAAACATGGTCCTTCGAGCAGGGATAAACATTTATATAAAGACGATCTAAATACTTTAATGAAAGATTTTTATATTTTTAAATAAGAAAACACATATTGTAGCGGGGGATGCGGGGCGAGCGTTACGTGGGCGATCATCGCTTACATAAATGACCCAAATTAGGTGAGGCGCAGTTATGTATGGCGAGTTAATGCTTTTCCGAGGACCCTTGAGTGTTCAAGCAATGGTTGAAGCACCAAGAGTGCCTAGCGTAAGCACACCACGAGTAACCAAGCACACCTCAAGCTCGTCACGGCGGCCGAGGTCACGAAACCATCTATGTACATTGATAGCGGCATGTAAGTGAACTATGGCGCCATCTAGTGACAAGCGGCGTAATTGTTCAGTTGCATCAATGCATTAAGGCGCCGCATGCACGATTTTACTACTCGGCATAAGATGGCGCGAGTAGTTTTAATTTATCTTGTTACAATATTACATTTGTAACAGTAATAAAAGGGGGTAGGTCTAGCAGAATTCACAGAATAAAAATACACAGAATTCACCCCCTTTTTTAAAACGTAAAAGGGAGAATAGATTTTGGATGGTTCCTATACATCTTACTAATATTATAAATGCGAAAGTTTAGATGGATGGATGGATGTTTGTAGCCTAAACGGCTGAACGGATCTCCATGAAAGTTGGCACAGGTTTAAAACAAAGTGTGGAGTACACATGGGATAAGGTTCATCCCCGAGAAATGTCCGGTTCCCGTTATACGTAGCTTTTTGTTATTTATATAGTTTGTATGTTTTCTAATATCACGCGGACGAAGTTGCGGGCAACAGCTCGTTAATTACACAATTAACTAGCTATTGCTCGCGACTTCGTCTTCGTGATAACGTAGCTTTTGAATGATGAAAGAATTTTTGAAATAAACTAGTAGTTTTTGGGTTAATACATACAAAAATATAAAGCTTTTCTCTTATTAGTTACTAGATTAGATTAAGTCTGCTTACCCGCTTGCAGGAAGACAGCCGCTGCGCGTGAATTGCCCGTCGACCGCAACGACCCAGTGCCCGACCTACGAAAAAAGGGCATTTCTATATAGAGTTTTACTACACATAGGATACCTTTAAGAGGAAATACCCTATTGTTAGGAAACGGAAGGAATAGTGAGGGTAGTTTTATAAAAGAAATGGCACAATAATTATTTAGTTGTTACCATAAAAGTTCAATATCTTTAAGTAAAATAAGTATTATTGTCTCCTTTACATTATAAGATCACAAACGGGGAAGCGGTCACTTGAATTCGCTGAAATGGCGAAGCGACTACCCATATACATCTGCAATTTCAGCATAGACTATCCATTACCAACGGAGACGCACATAAAGAGGATATTTCCCCTTCATATACATCTCCATCCCATCCCTTCCTCTTAAGAAAAGGGTAGAAAGGGTAAGGAACTAAAAGTCTCCGGCACATACATCAGAGTGTACGTGGAATTGCTTCTACTTCACGCCAGTATATTCTATTCAGTAAAATGGTAGTTTTAAAAGTATTTGTAACCTGCAACAATCGTCCCCGTCCGGCAGCGGGTGTGCGCGGGGCGGGGCGGCGCGCGGCCACGCCCCCGGCCCCGCCCACTGCTCCTCCGCCTCCACGCCCCCGCACTCTCTGACACAAAAACATACATATAAATACATTGTACAAGAATAACAAACATAAAAATAATACAAAACTACAAATATATTAATATTATAAGTAAATTGAACCATACAATACAAATTAAAAGAGGAGTCTTTAGAGTCAAGCTGGATGCCGCATTGGCTAAGTCTTCGCCTTTTGGCCGAGAACTGTTTTCTTCTTTTTATGTTTTGTTTTATTGTTTTTTTTATTTTGTTTTTGTATTTTTCTTTGCCAATAATTAGTGTTTTATTCTATTTTTATTTTAAACGTCTGAAAGGATTTCGATTAAATTCGGCATAGATGTATAATCTGGAAGAACACATATGTTACTTGCTTTTGTTTCTTTTCGTTTCGCGGACGGAGTCGCGGGCGAAAGCTAGTACCCCATAATTTAATGAAACTTTCTAGCAAATAATGCGAAAGTTTGGATGAATGTTTGTTATTCATCTCCAGAATTACTAAACGGATCTTTATAAAAAAGTAACATTTAAGTATTTTTTTAATTCCGCTTGTACGGAGTCTTTTTTTTTAAATTAAAAACAGAAAAAAAAATTTAAAACAGACTTTTTCCCGCGGATTTGACTGCGTGGAATGAAATGAAATTTATTAATTATTGAAGTTCTCAACTATGTCTTACTTCTGTGACAAATTTAATAGAGATTCGTATAGTAATTCCAGAGATATGTAATAACATCCATACATTTAAAACAAAGTATGTAAAGAACGTCGATAGCTCAGTAGTGTTAGCACTTGGCTTGTAATCTACAGGTATTGGGTTTTTTTTTATAACATAAGGTGGCAAACGAGCAAACGGCCACCTGAAATTGCCAAAATGGCGAAGTGACCGCTGCCCATAGACATCCGCTATTGTAGATGCGTTGCTTGCCCTAATTGACGGAGGA